ACCTACCCACCCACCCCCCAAAAAAAAATTTAAGTTTGTTTTTAAAAAATATTTTCAATTTCAAAAATTATTTTCTACTCTAGTAAAAATAAAAGATATTTTTCAAAAATATTTTTCATTCATAAATCAAACACTAAAAATCTTTTCCGGAAAATATTTTCTACTCACCAACCAAACATGAGAAAATAAGTCAAAAATTAACTTATTTTCCAGAAAAACATTTTCTTGAAAAACATTTTTCATGGAAATCATTTTCTTTCATACCAAACACACCGGTAATCTCAATTAATTGAAGACTTTTTTTTGACATCCTTTATTCATTTTTCTCAAGGGAGTTTGCATGTTAATATAAACTTATACTACGGATTGTTTTCTCCCTTTTTTTGTTTTGTCTGGTAGTGTGCAGAGAGTGAAAATGTTACATGCCTTCTAAAGCAAGCAGACATTCATTCTTCTTCAGAGTAGCTCTTGGAGAGTAGCACCATGGCTCATTCCAACATGGAAGCTGATAAAATGTGAGATTTTATGTTGTTTGAAAATAAATTGATGACCTTGTGTTCCTCTAATGGGTATACATTTTTTTTTTATGTGGGCATGTTCTCACCTTCATTTGGGGTTTTTGCCATGGTCGAATCTAGTTCTGGTTCTTAGCCGTTACGGTCTCAATTTCTCTCTCTTCTGAATGGGTATTGTATTGTATTGCATTGTATTGTATTGTATTGATTTCTTTGTTTGTGGGTTTGCGTCTAACCCCAGTATTGTTCTAATGGAAAGGGACGAAATTCTCCGCATGTACAAACTAGTTTAAACAGAAAATGTAGTGCTTTTGCTACAGGGACGGCTTGATCTTGCCATATGCTCATGTTTTACTGTTTTTCTATTTTTCTTTCTTCACTGCTTTGAAACCTATAGAGTCTAAGTATGTAATATATTTCCTCCGTATTTTGATAATAACAGGCTGGATGTATATATACACGATTATCTTAAGAAGAGAAAATATGGTGCTTCTGCTAGAACATTTCAAGCTGAAGCACAACTTCTCACCAATCGTGCTGGTAATACATCTACAAAAATGCCACTCTGGTCAATGCCTTTTCCAATTTTACTTTAATTGGTTCATAAAATAAACATTTGTTTTTCAGCTATAGATGCTCCAGGTGGTTTTCTTCTTGAATGGTGGTCAGTATTTTGGGATATTTTCATTGCTCGGTTCAAGACCCCTCTTTCAAGCACTACTGCATCTTACAATGTGGTATGATTTCAATGTGTTACAGACTGTTATTTTCTTAACTCTTATTTCTCCTAACCGACTTGTTTCACCTATTTATGTGTGTCCATTAGTTTCTGAATGAGGACGTCCAAGGAAAGTAGAAGCAAAGAAAATGGCGTATGCGAAGTTGGTGGAGAGTAAGGATGAGGAGGAAAAGGGGGCAAATATGGAATGGCATAAGATGACGAAGAAGAGGCTAAGTTAGCAGTTATGATGACAAAAACGACAAGTTTTGAATGTTTGTATGTAGAACTATAGGACAAAGGTGGGGATAAAAGCTAGATAGACGCGATAGAGAGGAGGGCCAGAGACCTGGACCAAGTGAAGTATATCTAGGATGAGGACGACAAAGTATTGGTGGAAGAGACACTCATTAGACAGAGGTGACTATCATATATCCATAGATTCTTGAACAAAAAGGGGGACAAAGAAATTGTGCTGGGAGATTTGGAGCACTCTGTGAGGCATCATGATTTTGGGTATTGTAGGTGTATAAAGGTTGACAAGCTTAAGCCATTTTTAAAAAAAAAGGTTGAGAAGCTTAAGGGTGTGTTTCGAAGGATGCATAGGACCCCGATGGAATTTTGAAAGAGCACAGGCAAGGTAGGTATAGAATGGCCAACTAGGTTGGTTAATGTCATTTCTAAGATGAAAAAAATGCTTGAAGAATAGAGGAAGAGTACAACCATCCATCTTGTTGGGAGGCTGATGGAACAATGTAGGGAGAGGAAGAGGGACTTAAACATGTGTTCGTCGACCTAGAAAAGGCATATGATAAAGTTTCGAGAGAAATTCTATGGAGGTGCTTAGAGGCTAGAGGCATACATATGGCATACACAGGGCAATTAAGGACATGTATGATGGAGCCAAAATCCAAGTAACATTTCCTAGTTGTGATGGGGTTGCACTAAGGATCAACTCTTGGCCCAATTTTAATTACCTTAGTGATGGATGTATGGCGCAACAAATCCAAGGTGAGGTGCCATGGTGTATGTTATTTGCAGATGACATAGTTTTGATTAACGAGACTCGCGACTGAGTTAGTGTTAAACTGGAGGTATGGAGACAAATCCCAGAGTCTAAAGGGTTCATGTTGAGCCGGACCAAGACAAAATACTTGAAATGTAAGTTTAGTGACGTAACACATTAGACTGGCGTGGAAGTGAGGCTTGATACCTAGGCCATCATAAGAAAGGAAGTTTCTAGTATCTTGGGTCTATTATTCAAGATATAATGGGGAGATCAAAGATGAAAGGAAGTTTCAAGGGTCTAGGTTCTTTTATTCAAGATAAAATGGGGGGATCGAAGATGATGTTGCACATTGTATTGATACAAGGGGGATGAAATGGAGGCTCGCATTCAGAGTTGCATGACAAGAAGGTGCCACCGATACTTAAAGAAATGTTCTACCTAGTGGTGGTTAGACCAACTATGTTGTATGAAGTAGAGTGTTGGCTAGTCAAGAGCTCTCACGTTCAGACGATGAAATTTGCGGAAATGAGGATGCTGAGTTGGATGTGTAGGCATACTAAGACAAATAAGATTATAAATGAAGATATCTGGTACAAGCTGAGAGGCATTAGTGGAGGACAAAATACGGGAGGCAAGATTGAGATACTTTGGACATGTGAAAAAGAGATGCATGGATTTCCCAGTGTAGAGGTGTGAGGTTTTCAATGAATGTTTCGGTAGAGGTAAAGGTAGGCCGAAGAAGTATTGGGTAGAGGTGATTAGACAAGACATGATGTAGCTTCAGCTTACAGATGACATGACCTTAGATAGGAGATTATGGAGGACATGAATTAGGGTAGAAGGTTAGTAGATAGTTGAGAGTTGTCTCGCTTATCTTTCCATGCTAGTAGTCGTAGTATTACTCTTTGTAGTTTCTTGCTTCTTCGATTTCTTTTACTATTTATTGTTCCTTGTACTTTAATTATCATATTATTTAGTTGTAGTTATTGTTCATTTTCAGTATGCTTTGTCATGCCTTGTTTAGTATTTTGCCTTGGTTTCTTTACTATTGTTAGTTTTTTGAGCCGAGGGTCTATTAGAAACAACCTCTCTACCTCCCAAGGTAGGGGTAAGGTCTGCCTACACACTATCCCAGACCTCACTTGTGGGATTACACTGGATATGCTATGCTGTTGTTTGTTTGTTGTTTGCATTTGTCAGATGCCAGTTTCTTCAAAGTTTTAAAGTTAACCTACTTAGCTGATTTTGGGTTTGCAGGTTCAAATGATTAATACATTGGAACAGAAGGATGTCCAAGCTCAACAGCTTAATCAAATGCAACAGCTTATCCAACAAAAGCAACTGCAAGGTTATGGTACTCAGCTTTTGAGGGGGACTACCAATGAGGCTATGACAAGACACAGTCTAGGGACAACAAATGCTTTAACCAAAAGGGTGTACGAAAGTAGCCCTCAAGTTCAGAGAATTTCCATATCAGTGGACAATAAGGTGTTCAAAACTAATTTTTTTAATAATTGCTGTACTAGTTCTCTCATTCCTGCCTTTATTTTTGAGCAGTCATAGCTGAATCATTCTTTCGTCATTTTTATTTCTCTAGAAACCCACAAATCCAAGGAATAGTGATAATATTGGTCAGCATTTAGATGCAAATCACAGCTGCATATCAAAACTGGAAACCTTTAGAGACCAGCATTCGCGGTACATTTTTTGAGCCGAGTCTGATGGTGTTTTCATGGCAGGACTTCTCTTTACCTTCGTGTCATTGTTTGTTTTATTTCAGGCAAACGCAACACAGTTTACCTGGTGATAATTTGAGATTTTATCCTCCACTAGCTGATCAAGCTCATCAATTCCCAGTTACGCAAGTAACTACCTTCCTCCTTCCAAAAGACAAATATAAAAAGGAAAAGAGAAAGAGAAATATATAAGCCAAATACTAAGAAAGCTGAGAAAAACAAACATTTCAACTAAAAAAATGTGGAAAGGCAATTGATACCAACATTTCACTCTAACTGCTTAATTTTTCTGTTGTCTGAAGCTGGACCAGAGCTTAACAAATATGATGATTCCTGCTGTGAGTCACAAAGCTGCTGAGTCAGGTAATTCACTCACTGAAGTTTCTGGTATTAACACTGAACAGTTAGCAATTCAATGCCTTTATCGAAGTGATGAGCATTTGAACATATGATTTTCCTTTTTGAGGGCTTTTAATGAAAGCAAATTTACTTCAAACAATAATCAAACTTGTCAATACTGTACCTGGCCGGGCTAGATCATCCTTTTGAATGGGGATTGCCCATGATGCTGTAAGAATCTTTATTGAGTGCTCTAAACATTATGTAGACCACTGTACTACTGTAGAATGAAATTGTGAAGATCAATTGTAGCATGAAGTTATGAAAGACTATTACTATTTCTTCCGAAAAAGTTAATGGCATTTTTTCTTGAAAATTTGACTCCTGATTAACGTAAATAAAAATTGGTTGACCATGATGGTATTCATCCAACGTAAGTTAACTATTAACTGTTCATCCAGACAGTTTGAGTTTGTTCTACCATTGTTTTTACAGTTGTATGTTGTTTATCAGTCTAGCCCCCGTCCCCCCTCCTCCACCCCATTTAAAAGAGAAAATGGGAAAAAAGGAGAATGGCCTAGCTAATTCACATTCTTATTTGGTTCAGGATCAGATCATGGAGTGAACAGTTTGCTTTTAAAAGGATGGCCCTTGATGGTAAGGTCATAATGTGTACTTTCTCAAATATCCATCAAAATGTAATGGTAAAGAAGTCAAATATTCAGGCTTTAAGACAACCGAAACTCCATTCAGAAGATCGAAATGAACTGTTTATTTTTTCTTTATTTTTGGTGTAAATACTAAATAGTGCTTTGTAAATGATGGCTAAGCAGTGATATATCTTATAGAATCTCTTCTAGAATAGGAATGGGTTTTTTTTTGGTATATTGTAAATACTTTTGACAGTACTTTCTTGGTGCTATAATAATAATATACTTTACCATTTCTCAAAAGAAGTCCAACTCTCAACTTCTGTGGTATAGGAAAGTAACAAAGATATGATTGAATCTATCAGTAGAGTGAAATTAGAATATGCTCTTTTACTTATAAAAAGATGCATACTCTTTTAGAAATTTACTCCCTGATTGGGTAACATAAGAGAAGATTTGTGCTAGTAGTGAAAACTGCAATTTTGGTCATAGATAGTCAAAGCCTATGATATTTCTAAAAGGTTTGAGATGATTCTGCAATATAATTTTGAACATGAACAATATGCTCTTTATATAGAATTGATACAGAACTGAAATACATAAAACTTGGAACAAACTAATGTGATAAGATTCTGTGCAAGTTGCAACAGAAAACTAGATTATAGGAAACTACCGAATGTCCTAAATAAATCAAGCGACTGACTTGATAATATTGTATCTGCAGAAAGCTAGAAAATAGGAAACTAATAACAAACTTCTAAACTGAAGTATAACAAATATTACTCATTAATATGCTCCTGCAAGTTGAGGGTGACCGGAATGAGCGCCAACTTGTGAAAATGGCGCAGAAAAGCTATAAGCAATAGAGGCTTGGTGAGGTCGTCAACAACTTGATCAGTAGAGTGAAGGTGACGAACCTCAAGTGCTTTTTGTTGAACTTGCTGACAAACAAAATGGAAATCAGTAGCTACATGCTTCATCCTACTGTAAAAAATTGGATTAGAACAAATGTAGGTTGTGATAACGCTGTCACAGAGGACTACTGGTGGAGAAGACAGTGAAAAGTGAAGCTCATTTTGCAAATTCGTGAGCCAATTGACTTCATAAACAGAAGCAGCAATAGATCGATACTTAGCTTCCGTGAATGAGGGTTAGACAGACTTTTGCCTTTTGGAGGTCCAAGTGTTTGGTAATTTCCGAAGGTTGACTACACAAACGCCGATGCCACAGATCTAAACATACTTGATTGTCTTCCGGCCATTCGTAAAGCATCCTCACTCCACCGTTGAACTAGTGTCTCCTATACTGAGATCTTCACATGATAATAGAATGAAAGAATTCAATGCTCAGTTGCTCAGACTCTTCACTTTTGGTGCCGCACCCGTGTCGACACGACATGGGTGTGGGTGTGGATGTGGGATCCGTGTACGATTTGGTCTACTGATTTTGAGTACTTTGACCAAAATCGATGGGGAAAGTCTGGACAGTTTTAATGATTTATGTAATCAATACAAAAGCTAAGGTGAAATTGAAGAAAATAGAATACCATTTATATAGAAATTTCTATGTCACTCCTTATCCTTTACTCTCCATCCAAGATTCTCCTCAAGTTCTCCATATAGTATCTCATAATTTAGGTTTTATAACTCTATTTTAGATATTTTAATTATTTTTAGATGAATCCTTGCACCCGTATCCATACATGGATCCATATCCCTGAATCTTAAAGATTAGATCATGAAGGATCCGACCTCTAGATCTGCACCCGTATTGGACATCCGCACCCGAGTCCGAGCAACTTAGATTCAATGGATGTTTTATTGTTACGATAAAAATTGAGAAATTGTTTGCAATGGAATATTGGATGATTAAAAGTGAGAATTACATGCATATAAATCTGGGTTACCGGTGTGAGATATCAGTATGGTGTTACCATTTCCCATTGTGATTTCTTCTGGACCATTCTAGTTTCTAATGGTGGTTGTGAGACTTTGGGCATGTGTGTAGCCCCTGTATAGACTATCCAGGGGGGGGGGGGGGGAGGGGGAGGGCGT